AGGTGGAGCTCCACGGAGGTCATCTCATCATCGGTCACCTTTCGACATTCTTTGTCAGGTACCAGCGTTCATTTTTTCCAAGACATGAAACTGGAAATAGGTCCCCAAAGAGACTTGAGACATTCAATCTCACCTTACATTTTCTAGTTCCTGGAGTATTTTTAGAGTCATTGTTTCACGTGATTCTTACAATGACCCTAAGAGGGAAGAAAATCAGACAAGTTTTATTTCCATTTCATAGACAACAACATGCAAACAACCTCGAAGCTGGAGGCTCTCCAACCTGCGTGAGGCCACACTCTCCCCTCTTCTCTTTCAGCTAAAACGTCAGCAGCAAGGATGGCCTGATTCTGGATTCGGTAAGGACACACTAACATCCCAGCCAGGGTGAAGAGGGGTGGGGAAGAAGGGAAACAGAAAGAGAGAAAACATCTGACTTGCTTTTGCAGATTCAGCTCAATCAAGTTGACCAGCACTCCTGAGCTGGATGCAGCATCAACTTTCTCTTGTACCTTGGTTCTAAACATGTGTGCTCATTAGAATCACCTCATTAGAATCATCTTTAAAACCAGATTAGAATCAGCTGGGCCCCACCCAACCCGATTAAAACAAGGTCTGGAGGGCTGAAGCCTGGATGCCCCACTATTTATAAAAGCTTCAGGGGCACATTCTGGGTGCTATGCAGCCAGTGCTGGGAATCACTGCACATGGTAGCATGTCACTGACACAGTGGACACCAAGGTAAACCGTGGGCTCCTTCTTCTTGGGGCCATCTGTGATGGTTCCACCACCCACCTCAACGGCCAGGTCCAAACACAAAGGTTAACTTCAGTGTCTCTAACCCATCGGCAAGTCCAATTGGCTCTCTTCCAAATACGTCCCCAATCTGACCACCTCTCACTGAGCCCGTGAGCAGGGTCTGAGCGGCCTCCCTCTAGACCTTGGACAGCTGTACCAGCCTCCTCACGGCTCCCTAGTTTCCACTCTGGGCCCCGTGGTCCAGTCTTCCCGTGGCTGTCAGAGCTCTCAGCTACAAGACAGTCACATGACCAGGCTCAAAGCCTTCCAACACCTTACAATCCCAGATCCACCCTGTCCGGGCCCTGCTGACCTCTGCACATTCCTGCGTCCGCTCCCTCTGTTCCAGCCTCACGCTTGCTGTTCCCTCGGCCTGGATGCTTGGCCCAGATCGTTGCATGGCTGGCTCACCTGTTATTTCCATTTAAGTGCCACCACTCAAATGTCACCTCCCCAGGGAGAGCTTTTCTGACTAGCCGGTCCACAACAGCACCCACCTCTGGCCCTCCACCCTTGGCCGTCTGCATTTTTCTGCAAAGCCCTCAGCAGCACCCATAGTCCCACGGTCAGCTGGCTTGTTTCCCTCTGACACTCGGATAGAAAATCCCTAAGGGCAGAGATGGAGCCCCAGCCCCAAGACCAGCCTTGTGCAGAACAGGCACTTAACAAACACGAGCGGATGAATGATGAACTCCCAGAGAGCCTGTTAGTCGTTTAGCCCAAGGACTCTGGGACCAAGCCCGTTGGGGCATAGGATCAGTTCTGCCTGTCGGTCCCAAGGGTGGCCTTGCACACCGTCCTCGTGGGATGAGGGTAAGCCCAGGGTGGCCTGGGGAGGGGGTCTGAGGGCTGTGAGAGGAGAGTGAGCCGGTCACACTGTGATGTGCTTCATATGCTGAGCCGAGAGCTGGGCTTCGTGCTGAGGACGTGAGATACACCACCGAAGGCTTCGAGAAGAATTGTGACAAGTTAGAGGTTTGCTTTAGGAAAATCACCCTGGCAAATTGTCCGGAGGGAGACCAGAGGGGACCTGGAATTTCAGGTCGCCTCTCTCTATTCACCGCCGATGTCCCTGAGGTTAGCGGCATTCCCGGCTAGAAGCAGTCTCCTCAGCTTCCAGCTCCTGGTCACTGGCCTTCTGACGGCCAGCCGGGGGTGGAAAACAATGGAAGTCAGATATCTCTGGGTAAATAAGGAATGCCCTGCGCTCTTACAAACACTGCACGTCACGGGAAGAATAATCACAGAGGACTCACGGTATCATCAGCCAAGTCCCCAAATCAAAACATTTTACTCTCAGAGAAAGCGGGCTGCAGTTTATCTTCTCCTCAGGACAAATGTCTGTTTTCCACAGCCACTGTTTCAACAGTGAGGTCACATGTGACCCACTCAACCTGACCCTGTGCAGATCTTGGCCCCTGATGCTCCCACAGACTGGATCCCAAGTCCATCTGTCTATTTCTCACTCACCTCCCACAGTCCAGACATACCAGGCTCCTTGCTGTTCCTCACACACACCAGCCTCGCACACACTTACTCTTCACACAGTTGGTTCTTTACAACTTACTGAGAAAGCTTCATAGTTTAGCATCTTCTTACAGAGGTCTTCCTGGCCAATCTGTCAAAATAAACCTCCTTGGTTAAGCTAAAAGCAAACCCTTTGCTGTAGGGTTGATTCCAACTCATAGCGACCCTATAGGACAAAGTAGAATTGCCCGACAGGGTTTTCAAGGCCGTAAACTTTATGGAGGTAGACTGTCACGTCTTTCTGCCATGGAGTGGCTGGTGGGTTCAAACTGCTGACCTTTCAGTTAGCAGCTGAATGCTTAACCACTGTGCCACTAGGACTCCTTTGTCCTTGGTTAGTCCCTATAATAACTTGCTGTTTCTTTCTAAACACTTATCACTATCTATATCAATTTTATTTCATTTCCCTCACTAGAATGTAAGTGGAAGGGGGGCAGAAAGCATCCCTACCTTCTTGACTGATTGTATGCCCTGCCCCTGGCAGATAACAGGTGCTCAGCTAAAAATTGGCTGAATAGAAAGAAGGGAGCGAGGAATAAAACAGGGAAGTAGAAAAGCAAGAAAAAAAATCTAAAGTCCACATTCCAAGGCAGAACAGGTACAGGAGTGCTGCAGAAATACACACCAACATGAGCGTGCTTTGCACATCAAAGATGCACTCTGTTGACGCAGTTGAAAATTAACATCTCAACTGTTGCGTTTGATGGCAAGGACAGACATACACATCTACACCATTAGCCAGACCTTTATTCCCACAACACATACACCCCATACAGAATTCCGGCCAACACGTATCATAAGTTAGTAGACATTTACACGTATCCTTTTTCATACAGGGTCTTGGCGGTTACCCACCAAATACAGGTCCGTACTGTAATCACAGAGCTGTATGCTGATTCCAGAAGCCAGGTGTTGAGATGAGCTCCATAACATTACAGTGAGAAATTGCTGTTCCCTAACCTGCTGGTCCCTATTCCCTTAAATAATATTGGCAACTCAGAGTTCCCGTAGTGCAGTGGGGATATGCCTACTACCCACATGGTTCTAATTTTGGAGGCAGAATCCCAGGGGAGTTGGGACATCTGTCATACAGTAATGGTTTTTCCTCGTTTTCCACAAAAATGGTGCTGTGACCCACAACCATCAGGCAGTAAGCTTGGCCAGTTGGTGTCACTGGTTCCCCCCCAGCACTCCTTACGATGTGTGTCAGCTGGCCGGCTGGCACTCAGGACAAAGCTGGAGAAATCTAAACCGTCCATCCCATTGGAGAACCCAGAAACCCCCTCAGTTGGGCAGCCGCCAGGTAGGGTTGCCAGACAAAACATAGGATGCCCAGGTAAATTTGGATTTCTTATAAACAACATTTTTGTGTATGTCTCAAATATTGCATGAGAAATACTTATACTACAAAAAAAAAAAATCATTCCTTATCAGAAACCCAAATTTAACCAGGCATCTTGCATTTTTTATTTATAAATCAGGCAACTCCACCTCCAGGGAAGGCCCCGTTATAACTTCTACCACCCAAGAAACATTAGATTGTTCCATATTTCATATTAACAGCTATAAATATTTTAAATAGATATACTTTCTTTGTTAAAAAAAAAAAAAACACTAGGCTCCTCTTTTCCTGCATCTATCATATTGCTCCTGTTTTGCCGAATAACGGCCTGAGATTTTTTTTTAATATCTTATGTTCTTCTTCCAGGAAACATCAATACTACCATGCTCGACTTATATTTTGTATATTCAGTTTGCAAGAGTCGCCATGAAACAGAACTATTTTAAAAGCGCGGATTTGGCATTTGTATCCTTTAATCATATCACCAACCTTTCTTACTAAACCAAAAAAAAACCTTTCTTAATACTCAGTTTAAACTGCACACCTCTCTAGAAAATAAATTAATGATAGATCATAATATCATTACTCATATAAAGGTGATCTGCTGCAACCCTTCTAGAAAGCTTCAGAGGATTTTTTGCAATCTCAACTGCTCTTTTAAAAAATATGTTTTCAATTATGAAAAATGATCTAAAAATAGTTCCCCATAGCACAAGGACAAAGCCATCTGTATGATCTCCCCAAGGAGCTCAGATTTCTATGGATTATATCACTTCCCAATTGTTCCTATAAGTTGTGAAATTTAAGAAAGATGTCGATTTGGCAGAAAATACTCATCTAAATAGTAACTGTAATCACTAATACTTCAATTGTTTTTCTATTATTCGCTCACATCACACAAGGCTCAAAGCAAACACATGTCAAAGTAAACCAGAGTCTAAAATCGCATTAAAACTCATTACCAACCTTTTTTATACAATTGCATAAAACCATCTTTACCAACAGTCGAGCAATAAAAATCAAAATGTTGATGAAATAGACATGGATATAGAAAAATACCTGGCACTCGAGCAAAACAAACACGGAAGTTATATATCTGACAACGTAATCACAGCTGTCTGGTAGAGAAATAACTTCCAGTAGATGCAAATAATCAGCAAAACTGCTATATCAAAATTGGTTTGTATTTCACCTTCTTAAGCATAAAGCTTTCGAGGAGGGTAAAGTTAGCATTAAAATGAGTGAAGATAAAACTTGAAGAAAAGAATATGAAGGCAGTCAGTGTGATTTAAAAATTTTAGCAGTCTTAAAGTAGAGAAGACAAAAGCCTGACCTCTGAGTCCATGCCCTTTGTGGGGCTCCAGAAGTCTCCGTTCAAAAGGGAGGCACTCACGACTTGGTAAGCTTCTCTCTCGTCCCTCCTTTGGGTCGGCTGCACGGAAGGTGCCAATTCACTTCCCACGCTCACCCCTGGATCAAAAAGAAAAGAGGCCAGTTTTTCTTTCTAGCGGGGAAGAGTTTAGCATCCAAAGCTTATATAAATGACTCAGTGAAACTATCTGGATACTGAATAAACCCGGGGAAACACTATAACGTATTAAATCACGTAAGTGTTAAAACTGATGAATTCTCTGTCAGTGTACACATAAAATTTTGTAACTTAAAGGAAGGAAAAAAAAGTTTTTTTTTTTCTTTCAAGACTTCTAGCCTGTGCTAAGTTATTAACATAGTCAAGGTAGACAATTCAGTTCTTCAACAAGCAACAAAAATTTTTCCCAAGCAGTGAGTTCTTCAAATGATAAATGGGTGCTTTACTTCAGATCAGCGCCCTAATAAAAGCTTCAGGGCTTTACTGTATTAAGACTAAATCTATTTACTTAAGTCACCGTGAATCTGTTAAACACAATGCCAATTTTCCTCTCTGTACTTACGGGGCCTAATTTTATATGCCTCAGTAAGTGATTCTATAGACAAAATTAATTTGCCAGTTCAGACTGACTAGACTGGTTTATGTAAAAGAAAAAAAAAGTCATCTAATAAACTATTATATGATCCTGTTTCTTGAGGTCTCATCTGTCAGATCGGTTAATAAATCAACACAGGTTCAACTTAGCCCATTTCCATAAACAATCCTAACGGAAAACAGAACATGTTTCTCTTCTGGAGAGCGTATCACTTTCTTCACAAATACAGTCATTTCCCTGGGCTTTCTCTCCGATGAGGTCATGCTCCTGCTATTCAGGGCGACCACACTACACCCCTCAAGGTAAAGGATGGTCCCGGGTCCCTCACATGTTATTCCCATTTCTTCATCCAGGACTCATAATTTTCACATCTGAGTCATAATAGCACAGTTTTAAGTTACTAAAGACCCTGCGTTTATGGGGCACAAATGGTATTGAAATTTTAATCCTAGACATTTTACAGTTCCCCAAACACTTTTAAATCCACACCATTTTATCATTTTCGATGTGGAAGTCTGCAGTCACATTCCGGTTACAAAAGGTTTACTGCTATAGTATTCATGGCTGACACAGCCTCTCCAGAAGGTTCTCAAGCTGGTCACAAAGCATTTAAAACTCCCCATGGTTGAGGACCGAGGGAACAGGGAGCAGGGCTGAACTGAAAGCTGGGGACACGGCTGGTGGCAGAAAGGGTGAGCTGGGCCACTCGGTGTGCGGGGAGGAAGGGGACGAGGGTGTGGGCACAGGCTGAGTGAGGACGTGAGAGTGTATGATGCCCAGGGCTGAGATGAGCTGAGTCTTCTGGAATGAACTGGTATTCAAGAGGTGAGGGTTCTGATAGTGTAGGCAGAGGGGGCTGTGGGATTAGCGGAGGTGGCTGGAGGAAAAAGAGTGGGCGATTTGAATGGAGACACCAGAAGTCCTTTCCCTGGCTGCAGAGGTGGCAGCCGTTGGCAGCGTGGAGTGCTTGAATAAAGGGAGCTCCTCCCATGGCTTGAGTTGGTGCCCTTCGGCGTGTCCAAGAGGGTGGGCGGCATTCCTAGAAGCAGGGGCTTTACAGCAAGACCTACAGGAGCATCAACACCATCTCAACCACAGGTCAGCTCGGACCCCTGTTCCAGCTGTCTGCCCAGTTGTTTGTTGGTTTACTCATTCACTCACTCACTCATTCATTCAACAAGTCCTGTATTTATTAACTGTCCACCTTCTGACAGACACTGTTTTAGGGGCTCAGGACCTGATGTCTTCCACTCAAATAGCTCCTTCTTCCTGCTTCAGGCCAGTCCCCCAAACGTCCACAGATGTCACCTCCTGGAGCCAGTCCCCTCTCTGTCCACACTGCTGGAACCCTCACCTCTTACTTACGTCACCCTAGGAGACGCAGCTCGTCTAGGTCCTGTGCACCTAACAGCAGGTCGCAGATGAATCTGCCCTTGTAACTTACGGTCTCACCACGGGGGGAGACAGACAACTGAACAAACGCAACCATGGCAGGGAATAGCACGTGCTCGGGGACGCTCGGCACCGTCTCTGCACCTCTCCTGTAAATCTAAAACCGTTTCCAAATACAGTTAATAAGAACAACAGGGTGGTGTGGCAGAGTGCCTGGGAGGGGACTCCTGATGGGGCAGGGCTCACACAGGCGGCTGGGCGGGGATCAGAGTTACTTTTGGGCGGCATCTTCTTCGCTGATTACTCAAAAAGCCGTGGGAAGAGCTTGTCAGCAGGGAACGAGTGCTTCCCGTTTCCATAAAATGGGGCTGAGTGTGGTGAGGCCAGGCAGGTCACCACATGGACAGTGAAGAGTCCAGCTCAGCATCTGGGCCAGGGAACTGCTCAAGTAACGTCAACGGGTTTCATCCCCATCACTCGCTAAGCTCTGCCACCATCACTCTCTAAGCTCTGCCAAGACCCAGGCCTCTTGCTCAGGACCCTTGGTGGAATTCACACATTGGAACGTACAGAAACAAAGGGAATTCTGATGCAGTTATATGGCTCCTGCAGAGCCAAGCCACTCCACGCAATTAACTGAGTTTAGCTTATACGGGAGCTGGCATGCCACTTGAGTTGGATTAAGAAGGCTCTGAAATACCAGCAATGACGAGTGGGAACTGCTGACCCATCTGAACTTTGCCTTCCACCACTGAAAACATGCCAGGTGCTAAGAGTTACTACGGGCATTATTTTCATCTTTTGAAAAGTAGGGCAAAACTGTTCAAAAAAGGACTTGCGAGCTTAGTTACATTTCTTTTACACAGATGAACCGGCTTGATTATAAGCTGTTCCTGGCAATTCTGTGAGTTACGACTCCAACCCAAGTGAGCTGTTAAATTGAGTAGTTATCCCAAATCCAATTGTTCAAGGGCATGTTAAACCAGGCTGAGGAAGAGTTGCAAGAATGTTCTTGGTGAACTGGAGTTTGTACCGCCTCCCCACTCAGCAGGAGTGGGCAGGACAGGACGGTTCCCGCAGTATGTCAGCCGTGCCTCCAAAGGGCCTGGAAGATTTGCATGCAGGCCTCAGATTCTTGGAGAAAAAGTCTTTGCGTTTAGTGGAGCAGCTGTCTGTCTAAGAGGGAAAGAGGTGAAATGCAGGTCTCCTGGCTGAACCAGTAGGATGACATGGCCAGCAGGGTTAGTAGAGGCAGTAACTCTATATCCTTGACTTTGGGGAAACTAGGGAGGAGAAAAGACCTGGCAATCTGCTCCCATAAAGATTACGGCCTAGGAATCCCTATGGGGCAGTTCTACTCTGTCCTATGGGGTTGCTATGAGCTGCAATCGACTTGACAGCACACAGCAACAACAGGGATGCATCTGTGGTCCAGTGGCAGAATTCTCACCTCCCATGCAGGAGACCTGGGTTTGATTCCCAGCCAACGCACCTCATGTGCAGCCACCAGCCGCCCATCAGTGGAGGCTTGCGTGTTGCTATGAGGCTGAACAGGTTTCAGGAGAGCTTCCCGGCTAAGATGGACTAGGAAGAAAGGCCTGACAATCGACTGTCAAAAATCAGCCAGCGAAAGCCCTGTGGATCACAACCGTCTAATCCCCAACCGATCACGGAGATTGCACAGGACTGGGCAGCATTTCTTTCTGTTGTGCATGGGGCCCCCATGAGTTGGGGTCCCCATGAGTCAGCGCCAACTCAAGGCAGCTAACAACACGGGAGGTGGCAGCAGGGCCTCCTGTTTGACGAGCAGGCTGAGGTTGCACAAACCGAACACAGAGAACCTCTTAGCTCTTGGACCTTGGTAGCAGAAAAGACAGTGTTTAGCCTCCTGAAAGCAAAACATCCAACAACTGAACATTTCCCTTTTCACCTACATATTCCTGCATCTTAATCCAAGAGAAGTTCTTTTTGGCTCATTTTCTCTCCCCTCTAAGAGGCTTTTATTTCTAAATATTCCCAGGAGAATTCAGAGGCAGACTGTGCCCGCACCTGCAGAATGCTGTGCAACCTTTTTAAGCAATTGAGTAACTGCACTATTGGCTGAGAACAGTATTTATTATCTATGCACGTGGATAATGAAGCTCTCTCTCAGCGTTCCAATTGGTCGCACAATATCGCCACCCCCACAGTATCTGTAGTCAGAATGCCATTTCGTAGGAGCTTTGTTATGTATTTATATACCGCTATTTCTTTTGGATGATGCAAATAAAAATTTTATTTGTGCTGCCTGGACAGACAGAATAAATTATACACAGCTGTGAGATATCACAATGTATTTTATGGAGTGATCTTGTTGACAAACCATAAAAGTACATCCGGAATGATGTGTATCTTCAAGCCCCAGAAACCCAAATAAAAAACATGACCTTATAAAATAGACAGTTTGCATACATTTTGTTTGTCATCATATTGGGGCATCAACAAAAGTCACGGCTACCGAGGTAAAAATGTTGATAACTCATATTGGGGAAGGAATTTCCAGCTTTTTCGCCTTGGGGGAACCTGACATACTGTCTTCCTTTCTGATAAAATGGTCATTTTGCTTCAGTCTCTGAGTGGAAAGAAGTATATTACATAATTTGGTTTCTAACACAGCCATCTTCTGGAACGATCAGCTCTGCCTTCCCACAGGTTGTGTGTGTGCCTACTTGGTTTGTCTCCTTGTCTCAGTCTGTCATATGCAAACCCAACTAATGCTGGTCAAGAGGGAAGTAATAAGCCCAGTTCTACAGGTAGGCATCTTTGCAGCAATGGTTTTAAAGGTCATAGAAAAGTCAGCAAAGAAGACACGCCTAAAAGTGACTCTAGATCCCCGCCCCAGGTCACCCAAAGCCTGGCTGCCTGTCTAAGTCCTGCTCCGCACATCCTCCTTCACCTGGCTTACTAAGTCCATTCCACCCTGATGTCTACCTCCAAGCTTCATATCACCAGGGGTGGGGACTGCCAGGACAGCTCAGAGACACCATCTTGGAGCTACAAGACCTGGTCCTGGTCCTGACTCCTCCTTGACTTACTGCCCTTCGTCAAAGTCTGCATCTGAGGTTCTACCTTCTATGAAAGGGGAACCACATTCTCTCCCCTCACTATTTTTATTGGGTTAAGGAAGCCCAAATAAGTCGATTCAGTAAAAGGGCCTTCATAAAGCTTAAATGCACGAAACCAGTCGGGATATCAGAATCCAAGTTTCCAGACTTTTACGCAGTGTTTGTCTAACCAAACCATACTATGGGTGGGAAAATGACAACCACATACCAAAAATTACAAAACTCAAGAGTACACGTGCCTGCTGGTATTCACCTAAGCCTCCCAGTGGGCAGTGAAGAAATAAACCCTGATGAGATTACTAGTCAAGATAAAACTTCAAACATCAGACCTGGAGTTCTGGCTTTAAAGGGAAATCATTACCAATGCCTACATGAAACCTAAGAGAGAAGATCAATCTGAGACGCCAAAACTAGAATTAAGATAAATATTCTTTTGAAAATCTGATGAAAGAAAAGTTGAGGTGGTTATTATGAACCACAAAAAAAGCCAGGGGAAAAGGCACGAGAAACTCATAAAGCATTTTTCTTGGCCCTGGATATCTGCAACCTAAAGAAAATCTTACACAACTGACGGGCAGTGCCTTGTTTCAGGGCAATAAATGGTGGTGATGCTTCCATAAAGGATAAAAGTACTTCCTTGGTTCAGATTTGCATGTGCAATCTTAACCAAATAACAACGTCCTTCTTTCACCTCATCTGCGGGTTCCCTGAGTGAAAATCAGCGATGCACTTTTAAGATGCTAGAGCTCAAGGATTCACAGAAGAACCAATGACAGAAGTTGGTCTGAAGAGAGTAACTTTAAAGTAGAGAAATTCAACCCACCTACACCTCAGCCAGGTGATCA